ATCTCCCCAAAACCCCAAAACCCCAAAACCCCTAAAAATCCTGAGATTTGAAAATATAAAATTTCAAAATGGAATCAATGAAGAGAGTAAGAGAACAGGAAGAAGAGCTGGCTGCTCTTGAGAAGCCATACACAAGTCTTATATATTCTAAAATAAATGGGATCCTTTCGACCTCCTACACTGTCATGTTGATCGAGGATTCGTATAAATAGGCTAGCTTATGGGGAGAATTATTATCAGAACAAAAAGCAATGCAGGGTTTTTAATAGCCTCACCCCACCAATGAAGCAAGGTGTTGAGCAACTGTCCTTTTGATTACAGAGAAAGAAAGCTTCTATGAAAGATTTCCTGAATAAAGCACCTTTTTCAAGAGTAAAGAATATATCCCTCCATGCGAATAGAGGATCTGCTGTCTTAAGGTTCAGACTTACTAAGCCAGTAAAGAGATTGATCACATGTGCTATTTCCAATCTACAGATTAGTTCATGGGTTGTTCCTCCAGCATCCTTCCAGGCAATTTTTGAAAGAGGGTGTCACGTTGAAGAACTTAAATTCGAAAACTGTATACGTAAGCGTTGAAAATAAACAATCTAGTTGAGCCATTCGTATGCATTCTCAGCCCAATCCTTACGTACAAGATACAACGACTTGTGGTATCAGAAAGTGGACTTGAGAGGAACTGAATGCTTACAAACTCCTTACCATTCGAGTATACTTTATCCGCCTTCTTCTTCCATGTTATATCACGAAGTAGTTTAAGAGACACGGTTAAATCAATCGGTAAAATTTTAACCCCCACATTTCTCCAAAAATTCTTAACCAAACTTTAGTAATTTTCTTAATCCTATAGAATTTATATGAGTCGATGAGAGTCTGCAGAGTATCAACAGGCTTAAGGACCGAGAAGAGCTGTTCCATATTAAAATCTCTACTGAGATAGAACTGGAATCTGAACTTTGCTCCTAAGGATACTTTAAATGAATCTGAAGAATGGGTGTTAAAGATATACATATTCCTTGATGGGGCGAGATGGGCCTTATTTGAGGTCCGAATGGGCTAGCTACTGTTTGTCTAATTTTAGCAATGGAATTTCAACAGTTCAACACCCTTAGGGGTTTTGGGGTTTTGGGGTTTTGGGG